TCACGGGAGTTGCAAAAAGTTTGGAAGTTCCTGCTGTCTGCCGTGAAAAATTCAGGCGTAGGCACCCGGGGTTCTGGTAGAGGAGGAGTTCCAAGAATCATACTGTACTCTGTTTGAGTAGTTGCATCTGAGACTGCAGAGAGGTCTGTGGCTGTGGGGTCATTAGACTCGGGTAGTAGTTGACTCTCCAGATGCTCAAGATTTCTTTGCAAATCTTGCACCAAGTAAAAACAAGGCAGTTACTGATCGATAAATGTCCCCCAATGCAGAGGCCTCCCTTTCAGACTTCATCATTGGCTGACTGGTACTGCCACGTACCTGATGGGAGACTGAAATGACGAGGTCGGCCTCACTTGTGTCACTAGCCCTGACCCCACTGGAGTTGGAACAGAGGGAGTCTAGGGACCAGGGGGACAAGAGCGCCAGTAGTTGTTGTTTGCAGCTCTTGCAGATGATGACTCTGGAAGACTGATGATCTTCTGATTCAGGCACAGTAGTAACAAGCAGAGCAGGTCTTGTAGATTGCCAGGCGTGCACCAGAGCAAGGCAGGTAGTGAGGATAAGAGACAGGAGCAGTGTCATAGGGTTAGCCAGGGTCATCAACAGCCGGGCAGCACGATACAGAATCTGAAGGAAAGCAAAGGTCAGGAGCAGAGCCGAAGTCAGGAACCAGTATCAATCAGGAGAGCAATCAGAGTCGGGTCAGGAACAAGCTGGATCAGCAACAAAGGAATCACACAGGAACAAGCAGGATACGGGGGAGCTGAAGACCAGTCAGCAACTAACATGGGCAGGGACACTCTTTAAATAGCCCATCGCTGTGCGTGTGCATGTGTGCGTACGTGTCCGCGCGCATGCGCACAACCGACCACTCTTCTCTGGACGTTCCTATGCGCACGCGCACTTCTATTTGCAATTCGTCTTGCCGGAAATCCCTTACAGTAGTGAAGCACAGTAACCCAAGCACATGAGAAGAATACCTGGAGATCTGTTAGCAATGATCCATGGAGCATGACAGCTTTATAGCAAGCATAACTGAGCATTTCGTAACATCAAGATGCATTGATATACACAGACACAACCATATTTATATATATATATATGCACATGTCCATACATAGCTAAGCCTTTGCATGTGTGCAGCTGGGACTGGATTCATGATGTGTTAGTGTTTTTCATGACAGGTTCTCAGACAGCCCGGGTAACTATGCATATGCCTGTTAATAACTTTATCAACGTTATCAGCCCCCCTGTGTAAAGAAATATTTCACATACACCAGCTGTGACAGCATGGCACTTTATTGCTGGAAAATCCGTTCATGAAAATCCACAGTTTAATATCAGGGCAGATCACAGCTTTGAGGCAACGTGAGTTCTTTAAAGGATGAAAGAATACACTACTAAAATGCCTAACTGTAGCGTGACAGTTCTGTCACATTGTCAACTGTGGTGAACCTTTATCCTGCAAATGATAGTCCTACATACTGCTTGGCACACTAAAGTGGAGAATGTCAGTCCCATAAACTGCTTGCCACACTTATTTCTCTGCATGATAGCCTTGAATTGTTAGGCTAGGATGAGGGAAACTCTCACTGCTGTGAAACAATCAAGTTACACACAACCTAAGATTTAGTTAAAAAAGAAAAAAAAGAATAACAAAGAGACAAAAAAAAAGAATAAGCACAATGGATATGCTTACCATCAATGTGAGGTGTCCTTGTGCCGCTGTGTCCTTCTTTAATAAAACATCTTCCTTCTCTGATGACCTCTCCCTTCCACCTATGCCACCATAATATTTTGGTGGTTTAATGTTTGTCATAAACCTTGAACCCTTCTTTTCCTCCCATAAACTTCGTGATTTAAGCCATGTCTCTGTACTTCCTGTTTGCCAGATTATTCTGTTAGGGTCAGTGGTCAGGCTCAGAGGCCAGTATCTATAGCAGCAGGGAGGTGCCCACCAACCAGCAGAATAGGTATTTTGTACAAGCAGGTCACCCTGGCAGATTATACGGCTTTCTTGAGATGCGGGGTCTAAGCACTACACCGTGTTCCAAATTATTATGCAAATGATATTTTTCTCAGTTACCTAAATAATTGATGTAAATAACAGCCAGCATAATTCTCATGTTATCAACTGTTATGAGTACAATTCACATTTTATTGAACAAACCTCCTAATGATAACAGTATTTTTTTTTTAACATAAAAAACTTACAGTGCTGTTCCAAATTATTACGCACAGTAAGTTTCAAAACACTTTATAGGTTGTAAAGAACTGAAAATTGTCATTTGTTGTGTTTGCAGCATATTTACTGAAATCAAAAGCTATTTCAATCAAACTTTTAATAACATTTTAACTTTTTAAACATTTTAACAGGTCACGTTTACATTGTAACATAGAACCCCTTATTTGATAGCAGCTTCACAAGTCTTGCATCCATTGAACTTGTGAGTTTTTGGACACTTTCTGCTAGAATTTGTTTGCAAGATGTCAGAATAGCCTCCCAGAGCTGCTGTTTGGATGTAAACTGCCTCCCACCCTCATAGATCTTTTGCTTGAGGATACTCCAAAGGTTCTCAATAGGATTGAGGTCAGGGGAGGATGGAGGCCACACCATGACTTTCTCTCCTTTTATCCCCATAGCAGCCATTGATGCAGAGGTATTCTTTGCAGCATGAGATGGTGCATTGCCATGCATGAAGATGATTTTATTACAGAAAGCATAGTTCTTCCTTCTGTACAAGGGAAGAAAGTGGTCAATCATAAACTCCACATATTTTGCAGAGGTCATCTTTACACCTTCGGGGCCCCTAAAGGGGCCGACCAGCTCTGTTCACATGATTCCGGCCCAAAATATGACTCCACCACCGCCTTGCTGATGTCGCAGCCTTGTTGGAACAGGGAACAGTCCACCAACCATCCACTACTCTATCCATCTGGACCATCCAGGGTTGCACGGCACTCATTAGTGAACAGGAGTGTTTGAAAATTAGTCTTCGTGTATTTTTCTGCCCAATGCAGCCATTTCTGCTTGTGAGCATTGGTTATTGGTGGCCAAATAGAAGGTTTATGCACAGTTGCAAGACTCTGGAGGACTCTACACCTTAATGTCCGTGGGACTCCAGAGGCACCAGCAGCTTCAAATATCTGTTTGCTGCTATGTAATGGTATTTTAGCAGCTGCTCTCTTGATCCGATGCATGGATCAGGCAGAAATCTTCCTCAATGTGCCTTTATCCGCACAAAACCCGTCTGTGCTCTGAATCAGCCACAAATCTCTTAATAGTGCGATGATCACACTTAAGTTTTCGTGAAATATCTAATGTTTTCATACCTTGTCCAAGGCATTGAACTATTTCACTCTTTTCGGCAGCAGAGAGATCCTTTTTCTTCCCCAAATTGCTCGAAAATGGTGCTCTGCTTAATAATGTGGAACACCCTCCTTTAGTAGTTTTTTCTTAAATTGGGCTCACCGGCCAATCTAATTATCACAGGTGTCTGAGATTGTTTTCAGTGATCAAAAGAGCCCTGAGACACAATGCCATCCATGAGTTACACTGAAAAACAAAATATTTAATCTTTGTGACACTTAAATAGAATTTGCATAATAATTTGGAATGCGGTTTTGCTGCATGCTAGTACCAGGTCACAGTCCTCATGATTTTACCACCAGGAGGTGAGTGTGCCAGGGTCCAGTGTCAGATATAGCAGGTAGGGATCAAACAGAAGCTAGGATTGCCACCTCATCCTTTTAAAACCAAACACATATTATTTGCACAGGTTTTGAAGCAAATTTATTGCAGATAAAGTATCATGTGAGTTTAAAGCGGAGCTCCACCCAAAAGGGGAAGTTCCGAATTAAGGACAGCTCCCCATTAAGGATTGGCACCTTTTGGGGGTGGAAAGCGGATACCCGATTTTGACAGGAATCCGCTCCCACTTCCGGTCCGTTCGCCTAGACAATTGTAAGCGGAAGGTGCCCTCCCTCCCCGCATGTGCAGTGGGTACCTGGCTGTGAAGATGCAAGCTATCACAGCCGGGTGCCCACACTGAAGATGCTGGCCTCCTAGAATACAGGACTGCCAGTGAAACAGGCTGTGGGGGACACACCAAGGGACAGGTAAGTGGCTGTTTTTTAAAAAGTCAGCAGCTACAGTTTTTGTAGCTGCTGACTTTTATTTTTTGACAGGCTGAGTGGAACTCCACTTTATTTGCCACCTTAGTCAGTCACAGAACCTGTGTAATTAATATGTGGTCAGTTTTAAAGGGATGTGGTGGCAACCCTAACAGAAGCATAGTCAGTAAGCAAGCCAAAGTGGTTGCAGGAATGTAGGTTGGGATCAGGCAGAAACGTAGTCAAGGAACAAGCCAAAAGTTGCTAAAGTGTGGTATGGAAGGTATGGATGGCAGCAGGAGAGACAAGAGAAAGATATTGGCTGGAGAAGGCACAATAATCTGGCAAAAAGGAAGTGCAGAGACATGGCTTAAATCAGGAAGTTCATGGGAGGAGCAAAGGCTTCAAGGTTCACAACTAACAAGGTCATTCAAGGAATTGTCCAGGCAGCTGTCCAGCATTCCAGGTGGCTCAGCAAGAAGAGACATTGCCAGACACAGCAGAGGTCCCAGGTTTGCACCTCTATGATACAATTTTTAAATAATACATTCATTTTCACATTGTATTTCAAATATTGCTATCCTATTCTAACTAATCTGAATGATCTTGCAGTTTGTAAACTTACTTTGCTAAGAACCCCACTCTACATTCACTCTATCTGGTCTCCCACAGTACACAGAACATGGAAATGCAATTATTTTAGTAAATATAAACTGCTAAATACCTTTGCGCATCAGCAGTATATAGCAATCTTGTGACGCATATCAGTGTCCGGTACTGGTTAATCTCATAGGAGGAGTTTTCATTATCCTTTGACTGACCTATGAGGCTGCAAGACCCTTGACCCTCTGTCCAGACAGCTTTGATTAGCCCTCTACTGATCACATGCATCCCCCCCCCAAAAAAAACTCTAGCAATACACACCAAACTGAGCATGTGCAGAGTGTCTCCTTGGGCTCTGTATTATCAGCAGATGGATTGGGGACTGTGGATAAGGGGAAGATCAGAGAAGACAGGATCAACCTGCCCATTTTACACAATGCGGAGCGGAGGATTAACCCCTTAGGTTCATCAATGAGTATAGCATGCTTTACTGCATATACAGACTGGTTTTACTGTTGTGGGTTTAGTAACATGTGACATGAAATCACTATGCCCTGTGAATAGTCACTGCAGTGTCACACATTGCACAGAGCCTGCCTGCTGGACTACAGAGCTGCTGAGTGGAGGAGTTTCAGGAGGTGAAGTCAGTACAGTAATCACTGCATGCAGACAGTAAGGCACCATGGGATATGTAGTTCTTAGAGATTTAAAGTAAACAAGTAATCAAGCATGCAGGGAATCTTTTTTAAACAAAGCAGCAACCAGAATTTGGTCTATGACATTGATTTCATTTAGTGGGCACAGCCTATATTCAAAAGGCTTGGTAATGAGATTACATAGTGCATATGGGGTAGCAAGAGAAGGAAAAGTGGACAAGCCAGATGGCCCATAAAATATCCCTGATATCCATGATATAGAAAGATTAGATAGGACATATAGGGATACAGGAAGGCTGGCCATAGACGGCCGTTTATCGGCCGAATTGTCGGCCGATAAACAAAAAATCGGTCGTTGCTGCCATGGATGCTGCCACCAATGCTTACGAAAAACAGCAGTTTTTTGTGGATTTTCCAGCATGTCTGATAAAAAGAAACGAGAAGATCCGCGAAAAACAGCCGATGGCATTGCCCCACTAACGGTGTGAATATTGGCCAATTTTTCGGCCGGGTGAAAATTCGACCGATACACGACCTGTCTATGGCCTGCTTAACACTACAAGACGCAATGTGTGAATAGGTGACAGAAAGGTAACACAATGGTCTGCATCTCTGTGAGCAAATACCCATAAACAAATATAAAGAGGTATTTATAGCATATGCCATGTATTGTACTCATGCCTTTCTAATTATAAAGATAAATAAAGTCAACTTTTTTTTGTTTCTTCCTAGCAGACAGAGAATTAGGTTATGTGATATGGCTACAGGCTTCATGTGCTCATCTAATGATAACCACAAAAGCCCAACACTGCATTTCTGCTCATTATTATCATACTTTATTAGTGTGCTCCACTTTACCCAGCACCTGAAATGATGTCTCTGCAAAAGAGCTTCACTGTCTCACTTCTGCGTATAGATTGTTTTTTTAAAAAGACGGCTTGTTCTTAATGCTATGGAGATTTGTAGAAATAAGTAATAGGAACTGAGTAAATATAATTTGTGTTGGGACACTTTAATAATGATTTTTTTTTTTTCGAGTAAGACATTCTTTGGTTTTCTAAAATTAAAGTCTAATTATAATCAGTGCTGTCTCCTGAGGTTGCTATGTGTCCGGTAATTGGGCTTTTTAAGAACAGAGTTTTCCTTTCCAGCTGGCATCCACTGGGTATACATTTCTCTTAGAGACTTCAGAGGCAAGATGTTCCCTTTGGAGTATTCAGCTCTGCCAAACTCATCATGGAGTCTCGCTCCGTCTGTTGTATTCTCTTTAAAGTTTACGTGAACCCTCACCTTGAAATCAACCCATTCAGTTTAAAATAGAAATGAAAAGCATAATATTTGTGTGTATATATATATATATATATATATATATATATATATATATAAAAAACATTATAAATACTGTACTTTTGATCACATACCCTCTAAGCTCCATATGCAGCTGAGAACAGAGAGCTGGGGGATGGAGAAACAGCAGCACACTGAACTTCCCAGTGAATGGATGTGCAGGGTGGGGGGCATGTGAGCAAAAGTCTGTTCATTGGAGGAGAGTAGACTGAGTTCCCAGTACAGCTAGAGAACCAACCACACTTTTCTCTTCTGCCTAGTGTGATCAGTTTTTAATAGGAAGGCAGTGGAATTGGCAGGAACACCAGGGATTTCACACAAAAGAAATGCTACAAAGAGAACAGGATACTTTTTTTCATACAAGTACATGGTACAGCAGGCACATATCAGGAATATGAAATGTTGGGTTTACATATTCTTTAATCACTTGAGCTCTGGAAGAATTTACCCCCCTCATGACCAGGACATTTTTTGCTATACCGCACTGTGTTACTTTAACTGGTAATTGCACAGTTTTGCAACGCTGTATCCAAGCACATTTTTTTCACACAAATAGAGCTTTCTTTTGGTGGTATTTGATCACCACTAGGTATTTTATTTTTTTGTGACATAAACGAAAAAAGACTGAAAATTTGGGGAAAAAAATATTTTTACTTTCTGCTACAAAACATATCCAATAATAAAAAAAAAAATATTTTATTCCTAAATTTTGGTCAAAATGTATTCTGCTACATGTATTTGATTAAAAAAAATGCAAAATAAGTGTATATTGATTGGTTTGTGTGAAAGTTATAACGCCTACAATCTTTGGTATATATACTTGAATTTTTATTTATTTATTTTTATACTACTAATGGTGGTGATTAGCGGCTGTGATAGTGTGGAGGGAAATCTAACACTAAATGACACTTTGGGGGGGGCTGACTAACTGTCACTGACATCACCAGTGACATTAATACAGTGATCAGTGATATTATACACTGTCACTATACAAATTATTATTATTATACAGGATTTATATAGCGCCAACAGTTTGCTCAGTGCTATACAATATAACAGGAGACAATACAGCAACAATACAAAAGGGTTAGGAGGGCCCTGCTCCTTGGAGCTTACAATCTAAGAGGGAGGGGCTAGTGGTACAAAAGGTAATAACTGTGAGGGATGGACTGGTAGGAAGAGAAGATTCCATTATTAGCTGAAGGCAGGATAGGCTTTGCAGAAGAGATCGCCTAAAATTGAGCAGAGTAGGTGATAGTCTGATAAATTGGAGTAGAGAGTTCCAGAGGATGGGGGAGGCTCTGGAGAAGTCCTAGAGATAAGCAGGGAAGGAGGAGACAAAGGAGCTAGAGAGTAGAAGGTCATGTGAGGAGTGGAGAGTACGGTTTGGGTGATATTTGGAGGCAAGATTGGTGATGTAATTTTGGGCAGAGTTATAAATGGCTTTATATGTTATTGTTAATGTTTTGACTTTTATTCATTGGGCAATGGAAAGCCAGTGGAGGGCTTGGCAGAAACCATGACACTGGGTAGGAAGGGGTTAACATCTAGGGTGATCAAGGAGTTAAATGTGTACCTAACTATGTGTAATGTGTATAAAGTGTGCTGCATTTACTAATTGATCTCTAAGTTTCTTATCCCTGCAAAGACACAGAGGTCATTCCCTCTGCACAGAGCTCCACAGCTGATCAGCAGGTCCTGGCCATGAATCATTGGCTGTGACTTGCTGACAGGTTCCCGCTGTGTACATTCAAGTGGATGCAGGCTCAGAGGGAGTGCATGTGTGTGCCCGATACCCGTAAGTAGGCAGCGATGTACAGGTATGTGGCTTTGCCTACATTGAGTGGTTGTTAAGTGGTTAATGAAAAAGAAATGAAATCAGAGAGTCATCAGATAGATCTCACTAGAAATAAAAAAGGGTTGTTCAATACGAGGTCACAAGGATGCTATCCATACAACTATAACCCTGAAATGATATCCTACTTAACCCAAGTATTTAACTTTAGTTTTCTATTAGAGAGTCATGCAAATATCTGCTGATTGCAAATGACCCAACTTCCGTATAATGAGGCATTGGTGTATACAAAAATGACATTTATCATTTTACCATGATGATGACCACGTACTGTAATTCCTTAATAAATAAATAAAAAACCTTTGTGCAATCACTTTCAATAAACACAACTAACAATAATATACTCTAAATAAAAAGAAGAAAAAGAATATGCTGCCGCTAAGTCCCCATATGATCACCCCACATATGTTACAATATTCATACAAAGTCCAGGACAGCGCTGTCCCAGATTTTGTATTGAATATTGTCCTCCTTACTTTGCTGGCAAAATGTGTTTTAGAATAAATATTTTATTTTTTTTCTTCTGAAAATAAAGGATGCATAAAAAATGGTTGTCAGTCTGCCAGTGCTAGCCCAAATCAATATTGTTCTTTGGGGGATTGACCCTTTTACAAAAACACTCTGTAAAGCCCCAAGGTGTGGACTGTGTTGAGCTTATAGGGCTTATAGAGCTTATAGTATAGGTTGTTTACTGCAAATGATAACGGAATTGATTTGCAACCATTCATGCAAATTTGGCAAATTACACATTTTGAGTCACTTTTATATACAATTAAAGGTTTCGCCAATCTACAGTGATCGATACAATTAATGCATCTTGCTAGGTCTGGATTCCTAATTTGACTGTAGATAAGACAGCTTTACATGCAAATATTAGTCAAGTGAAAAATTAGTATGCAATTCCCAATAAATATAATCACCGCTGTACAATCACTTCTGTGTCCATGTACCTGGAGTGCTTCAGGCTACCATTTTCCTGCTCTGTGGTCTCTGTATTTTATGGGTTGGGGGCCATATAAGCTGACCATCTGTGCAACAAAGCTGCAGATGTGAGAACAGTGCTCTTTAGAGTAAATTATAGCATTCCTGCCCACATGTGGATCCATAGCTGTAGTGCTTATAAAGCTTAATTCTAAAAGCGATCTTTACTGCCTACTTCCATAGGTCAATCTTGGCACAATGTAGGGTTGTATATCTTATATCTGAGGGGCCACTGCAGAAGCTGATGATCACTGTAGAAGTTGTCACTACTACAGTGATAGATGCAGTCTTTCAAGTCTTGAGAGTGGCTTCCCCTCTTCACACTAACCAGAAGACGTTGTTTGTTCAGCACTGCCGCCATTCAAAGAATTCCCTGAATTTTGTTCAATGAATGTGTTCTCTGATTTAATAAAGTGCTGGTGATCTCCAACTTGTCAGACAATGCCTTATATTATTTATTGAAGAAAACCTGAACACGGGGAGTAAAAGTCATTTGTTTATCTTTCTGACAATGCTAGTTGGTGGTATTTGAGCTGATCCCATGGCTTTAGGACTTACAGGGTCGCTTATCTGGAACATTGTGGGAAGGTGCAGTGTGGTGCAGTGGCAGTAAATACACAGAGTCCAATTGCAGTAAATGGAACTTGTATT